ACCTAACATTGAGGAAATCTCTTTGAATTTGGCAGGAGGAGACAAATTCACTGAATTAGACTTTAGTCATGCTTACACTCAACTAGAACTGCATCCAGATTCAAAAGTCTATACGACAATAAACACACATAAAGGACTCTACCAATATGAAAGACTATGTTTTGGCATATCATCTAGCCCTGGAATTTTCCAAGCTGTCATGGACAGTATTTTTAAGGACATTCCAAATGTTTGTGTGTACTTTGACAATGTGTACATAACTGGTAAGAATGACACTGAACATCTTAAAACACTTGATAAAGTATTGAAAATTGTTGGTGAAAAAGGTTTAAAGATAAACAAAGATAAATGTCAATTCATGCTGACAGAAATTAGTTTTCTTGGTTATATATTGAGCAAACAAGGTATCAGACCTCAACCTGAGAAAACAAAAGCCATTAAAGAAGCACCCAAACCTGAAAATACCCAACAACTAAGAGCTTTTTTGGGCTTAATAAATTACTATGCAAAGTTCATAGGAAATCTGTCTGGTAAACTATCACCACTGTACAAGCTGCTACAGAAAAATGCAACTTGGCACTGGGGTAAACTACAAGAAGCTGCTTTTAATACAGCAAAAGAGGCTTTGTCTGCTGACACCTTACTAACTCACTATGACCCAGGGAAAAGACTTATATTAACATGTGATGCTTCACCAGATGGTGTAGGAGCAGTCTTGTCCCACATGGATGAGAAGGGTGACAGACCCATTGCTTTTGCCAGTAGATCTTTGAACCAGGCTGAGAAAAATTATTCTCAGTTAGATAGGGAAGGCTTAGGCATCATTTTTGGTGTTAAGAAATTTCATAAGTTTCTGTTTGGTAGGAAGTTCACCATCTTTACAGATCATAAACCATTGCTAGGTTTATTTGGAGAAAACAAAACCCTACCTGAGCATGCCTCACCAAGAATTCAAAGATGGGCTATCACATTAACTGCATACAATTATGAATTGAAATACAAACCTGGATCTGAGAATAGTGCAGATAGTCTTAGTAGATTACCTTTAAAAAACCAAAGCCTGAGCTATGTACCAGAAGATGTATTTGTTCTCTTCACTATCATGGATAACTCCAATATAAATGTGAATGATATTAAAAGAGAAACACAAAAAGATGAGTGCTTAATAAAAGTATATGAGCACTGTATGAATGGTTGGCCTGAAGAGTCTGTGAATGATGACTTAAGGCCATATAAAATAAGAAATAAAAACCTTTGTGAAGATAATATAAAAGATGGAGAAGATGCAGTCCATTATCAGTCAGAGCTACCTAAACAAAGTATTTGTAACTTAATAAATGATTATGGTGATATGGCAATTTCAAATGTTTTAAAGAGAATACATTAGTAAGAAGGAATGTGATCATCAAACAACTTTGCTAACATCATTAGCACTTACAGAAACTAAAAGGGTAACATCAAAAGAAGAAAAAGATTTTTGCCATTTAATACACCCACTTCAAATACTGGATCACAGTTGCAAAGTGATATGGTCCAGAATATTACTCATAAACAGTATTTTTGGTTACCAGGAAAGCACTATCGGATTACCTGAGAAAATTGATCAATCAAAGAAATCTATGTCAGTTAAGGATCTGAATAACAGCATAATACTTCCAGATGCCAATTCAAAAATAGTTCCATTAAATCATGACAAAACATTCATTGAAAGAGAATTTGGTGTTAATGATAATGTGTATCTGAGAAATTATGGGAGAAAGGAAAAATGGATACCAGGTCAAATTGTTCAATGTACAGGACCTGTGTCTTATAAAGTAAAAACAAATGATGGACTTATTGTCCGTAGACATGCAGACCAGTTGAAAATAACTTGTGCAGATAATAAGTGTGAATCTGTCAATCCCACCAAGTCTGATCAGTTCACACCAACTCAGTTTGTTCCACAACCAAGTTCTGTTGATATGAGTGAACCAAGTTGTCTGGAGTCAGAAAATGTAAATTCTGGAGTTAATGATTTAAATCCTAGACCTCCTGAGATAGAGAATCCAGATGGTCAGAATATTGAGTCACCAAATCAAAGGCCACTGAGAAGGTCAAGCAGGACAATCAAAGTCCCAAATAAGTTAGACCTATGATTTTAAAGGTCAAAAGGACTTTGACATCATTGTTTTGTATCTTGATTATGTTGTAGCATATTGTGCATTGTTTGTAAGGATGTAATCTACCATAGTGTTCATGTTACAATATAATTGGTGATTTTAGGATACTATCAATTGTTCTATTGAGAGATGTGTTATTGTGTTCTAAGGGTAAAGGGATGTAATAGATTGAGATAATTGTATTGGTATTATATTTATATTGTTATCTTGAGTGATGTCCCTTACATGTTGTTATCTATATATAGTTGTCTCTGGCCACTTCCTTCCTCTCTTTGCATCATGGCTGTCTGTTAATAAAGGCTGTTAACACCAATGTGGCTCCTCGTCAATCCATCACAATTGTTCTAAACGTTTATAATTAATGTGGTTAATCTACCAATGAATATATCAATAAATTAATTAACGGCTTTAAATTAGTTTGTAATTAACAGTGTGTTTAAGAAAGAACAATATTTACCACCCAAAAACCTATTTTAAAGCTCTACACATTATGCAGATTCTCCCCAATAACAAATTTAAAAAAAAATGAGTTATCAAATGTCACTATTCAATCAAAGTTAAGCCATTGTTCTAAAACTTTAAAATTAATGTGGTTAATCTACCTATGAATAAATCAATAAATTAATAAACGTCTTTAAATAAATGTGTGATTAACAGTCTGTCTGCAATAAAAAATTGTTCTCTACCTACATACTATTTTACAGCCCCCCATATAGAGCAGTTTCCTTACAGTACCAAATCAGACAAACAAAAAAATAAATATTCAAACATGTAAACAAACTTGAGTTTTAGTAGTAGTAGTAGTATATATATAAATAATTTGGACTTGCAAGCCTTTTGAAAGTTTGTTTATATTACTTATAACTTGTTTTCAGTTTAAAGCATGCCTCTAGATTTGTATTTGTTAGTTGGTTGGCTTCAGTGTTTCTTTCAGACTTTTTCATGGGGGGGGGGGGGGGGGGGTGGCACTTGACGGACTAAAATTTCCGAGGGGACGAACACTATTAAAGGTATGTATTTTCTATATCAATTCCGTTTTTAAAAACTCTACTAAACTCTACTTCACCTGCCCAGTGCCCCGCCAAGTCTCAGACATGTTTGTATTTAAAAAAAAAAAAAACTATTCCGGCTGAGCATGGCTCTAGAAAGAACGTCTAAGCCGCCCCCCGCCCCCCAACTAAAAAGAAATGTCGTCATCGATACTCTATAATAAAATTACAGCCTAATTAATGAGTCTAATCTAAAAAGTGTTTGCGTGCAGAGTTTCTTCCATGCAATTCTTCGGGTAGTGGCTAAGCGCGACACCAGTGTTTCTTTCAGACTTTTTCCTCCCCGGATGGAGGAACTTTTGCTAATCTAAAAAGTGTTTAGCGTCCACAGTTTTTTTCATGCATCTCTTCCGGTAGGGGCGAAGCCCCGCCCAGGTTCTTCCTTTAGTTTGTATGATCTACAAATGCGACCAGTGTTTCTTTCAGACTTTTTCCTACCCGAAGAGGGGTGGGGGTACTTGAAATTTTCGGGGGCGGGGGTAGAATTTTCTGGGAGGGGGCGGACACTGGAAAAAGTATGTAATTATATTTCGTTGAGTGGGACGGTAGACATGTTTTAGGGTGTCTGTGTCTGTGTGTGTGTGTGTGTGTGTGTGTGGGGGGGGGGGTTACTTTAGAGAAAATAGACAGCACTATCAACCTAGCGCTCGTTGTATCCTTCCTCAACGGGCAATTTTTCTCGTTATAAATATGTGTGCAAGGAGCTGAAGAGCCGCAACTTGACATCAAAAGAGCCGCATTTTTACAAGCTTTTAACTTGATTCCTCGTCATGTATGTCTAGAACGAAGCGCAAAAAAAAAAATCGCAAAAATAATAAACGTAAACAATCATAAACACGCCCTCCTCAACGAAGCAATATCGAGGACTAGTTCCAAAAGCAAATATGTTAAGCAAGTTCCGAGGATGAACATAGGTCAAAAAAATTCCCGGAATTCCTTCCTGGATTTCCCGGAAAAGCCAAAAAACCTCGAAAAAATGCAGTTTTTTGCCCATATCTCGGCAACCAGACCACTTAGCGACTTGAAACATTTACCAATCGATTCCTGTCATAATTTAGAACAATATTGCCGAAGAAAGTTTTCAAAAATATCCTTTCATTCGGCCACAAAAAATTAATTAAGAATTTTTAAACTGAGCGTCGTGTAGGCCTAGGATGATTTAGCGCAAAGCGCTGAGGTTCGAAAGGATTTTACCATAGCGAATGAGTGGAGGTTCGAAAGGATTTTTTTTCGACTGATACGGGAGGCTAGCCTGTCGCGACGTGGGGTCGTTCGCGTCACTGCGCGCGGCAAGAGAGAGAGAGAGAGAGAGAGAGAGAGAGAGAGAGAGAAAAGTCAGATACTGATATAAACGTTTTAATTTTTGGGCACCGTTGCTGAATATATGATTTATCTCGATTTAAAATTGTTATGGATAACATAAGGATATTGCGCTTAAATTGTCACTAGACTTTTTATTAACTTGTTTATTCTATGTGGGTTGCGGGTCACTTAATTTTTATAAAAGGGGGCGCCACTCGAAAAAGTTTGGGAACCACTGTATTAGATTGTTAGGCATTGTTATGAAACATGAAACAGTTATATGTAAAACAATGGAGCAGCGGGGTATCGATCCCCGTACCTCTCACATGCTAAGCGAGCGCTCTACCACTTGAGCTACAGCCCCATCTAACCAATTGCAAGATTGATAATACTCTATATGAGAATAGGCTCGAATTAGACAACTAATTTTGTGTGAGTAAATATAACAGTTTAGCAGTCTAAAAATCTATAGATTCTAGATTCTGTAGACTAGATCTGAGAAAAATGAAGAAATCAATGGATCCCCATGGCCATAAAAATTAAATAAATACAAAAACTGTTGTATACCTCTATCATGTCGATTTATATTTTAAAAGAAATAGCAATATAGTACTAGAAAATCTAAGTACTAAGAGAAGAGTAGACATAATCAAATAATCATAGTCACGGCATTTTTAAAATTTACTTAATTTACGTTGGCTGTCAATGATCAAATTCATTATTCAATGTCACGAATGTGTCATGTTAGTGTTAGACTTTAATATTTAAATACTTATGATCACTTGATTCTACATATAGACTCTATATATAAATATATATACAATGAAAGCAAGATTCTTATTACTTTGTATTTCACTGAATTTAGTCGTTGGACTTTTTTTGAAAGGATTTTTCCCTTTGAAACAAGCCTCCAAAGATTTTTCTTTTCACAAAAAGAATAAATTAAATGACACTTTACTGTATACAGAATCTTTAAGCCTCTCAGATAACTCAACATCAAATCTAGATCTAGATTTTTTAGATCTACATCCCAATCTCAATCAACCTTTCAAAAGGCTAATTTTCATGGTGATAGATGCATTTCGTGCTGATTTTATGTTTGGGCCCTACAATTTTATGCCATATACAAAAGCAATTGTCACAGCTGGTCATGGTTTACAGTTCACTGCAGAAGCTTATCCACCAACTGTTACATTACCACAAATTAAGGTATAAATAAGTTATGTATATATATATAGATAATAATAATAGATCTATATAGATATAGGCCTACTAGCCATCGCTACCTGTTACACGGGCAGTTCTGATGACTTTTAACTTTTAGCTATCTTCTCTTTACAAAAGGCTACCCGGTTTTTCTTTTAGATATTTATTTCCGGGAAGTTGCATTTAAAACTGTCCGGAGGAGGGTGTCGGGATGTGTCTGCGAGGGGAGGGGGGGTTTACTGGATACTGGTTTTTGTATATTTTTTTTATGAATTACTTTTTTCAATTTCGTTCGGAGGTGAAAGGGGTAGAAATGGTAGAGATGCCTGAAGAAAATGTATATATCTATGGAAAGTGAGTAATGAAATGAATTGTAATTCAGCTTTTAAAAAAATCATTATCAGAAACTTAGGAAAAGAAACATTTTATGAAACATTGTTAAGATTATGAAAAAGAAGAGGTTTTGTTTTATTTACTATCAATGTTTATACTTAATTAAAATAACATAGACTACCAATACCTATTAGAAAAATTAAAACCGAATTATATACAGTATCAGTCAACACAATACCATATTTAATGCACTTACTCATTAAGAGACTTAAAATTAAGAGACTTAAAATTAAGAGACTTAAAATTAAAAGATTTCGATAAAAATCCGGCTGTTCAATGGTAGTTATGTTGTTTTTGTCTTTTAAAACACCTATTTTGGCTTCATATCCCTTCATATGCTGGAAAGACAGAAACAGGTGAAATCTACTTCACCTGCCCTGTGTCCCGTCAAGTCCCGATAGGCAACTTTATCATTCACATACAAAAAAAAATAATAATTAGAGTACGTAGATCTAAATCAAATTTGAATGAAATAGTATATGGCTAATAGTTATAACTCAGATGGTTAAGCATGAAAATATTTTTACATTTTTTTAAATCCTCCGTTGCCATGGTGATGGTAGCCTTATTGGATTTTATTGACGATTTTTAAATGGAAAACACCCAAAAGCAGTTGGTACAAATATCATGAAAACTTAATATAGAATGGAGACACATGTGTTTATAGTTATTTAAATAGTAGTGTATAATTTATTTTCTACTTTTTAGTGCATTATTACATAAAAGCTTGTTATTAAAACGTTTTTTTCTGAATTTTTTGTGTGTTTTTCTCAGTTAGATGTTTTTTGTACCATTGTTAAAATAACTTTGTTAATAATTATCAGAACTGAACTAAATTTGCACCAGTTACGCTGGATATATGTTCAAATAAAACTGATAGAACACTTTTGGAAAAAAAAAATTTTTAAATTGATGAAATAGTGAAAAATCGGACGAAATAATGAAATTTTTTCAGTGATGTATGGAAAAAAAAAAGAAACAAAAAGTATCTTCATTTTTGAAAATGTAATCTATCAGAAGTCTTAAGGAGTCTTGGGCGTGGAGCGAGGGGGGGGGCTTTTTTTTTTTTTAGTAATTTAAATAGTAGAGTCTAATATTTAGGAAGAGACCCACGCTTTTCTTTATAGTTATTAGTTATTATCAAGGTGACTTTTTTGGCGTCTTGGCGTCCTTCACTTATTCTTCGACTATGGTTTCCTTCTTTTGACAGTAGTGCCATAGCATGCATGGGCCCAAAATTGAATTCTGCTATTGCAGAAACTGCAGCATATTTTGTATAGTCCCATGTCTAAAGCCAATGATGCTAAGACAATGTCTTTGTTTATTGTGAATGGCCTTGTTTTGGATTCTTTTGCAGTTGTATACTTACTGTTTACAACATTTTACTTACTGTTTACAACATTTTATAACTGCCACACCATGCTTGAAGCAAACCCTTTACACATTTTTTCATCAATAGTAGCCACTATATCACAGTTACACTCTGGGCAAGAAATGTATTGATAAAATCAAGAAGCAAATCACCGTCAACAATAATTCTGCATGGCTGTGGTTTACATTTAGCACTGCCAGTACTAGATGGAGCATTACTTTCTTCTGTCTGTAAAAACTGTGTCTTATATTGCCGCAGTTTCTTAGTAAATGTGCATATTGCATCTGCATCAGTGGTTGTCTGAATAGTGCTAGATTGAGTAGAGGTAGCTGCAATCAGTTGCATTCAGACGTGCCTTGTTTTAGACTTAAGTTAGATGTGTGTATCTATTTTTAGCGAGTGTTTGGTACTACCCAAAATAAAAAAAGAAACAAATTTAATCCTCTCACTGCTTAATTCACACAAATTATATTTAATTAAAATAATCATAAGTTAAAATAATGTAAGTATTTCACAGACGCTCAGAGAAACAAAATAAAACCAAATCAAACATCGCAACGCGCTGAAACGAAGGGAATATTTACTACAGAAGCGAAAAGACCAATCGCTAACTGACTGAGTAAAATAAACAAATTTATGACGTAGAAAAATAATCACATTAAAATAGGTATTTTGACTGGTTCTTTAATTTTAGAACAAATAAACAAAGTAGGTCACGGCCTTTCCATTGATATGCGAAGCCTAATAGTACTTTTCTAGTAGTCGAAAAATGGCTATTTTTACCTAAAAAGTAAACAAATGACACACTACTTTGAATCCGGTTTTTCTTAAATTAATAATGCTTTTAAGGTCATTTTTAGATTAAACAATGGTTCTTCTGTATAGATCAAGTAAAAGTGGGAAATCGATGATTTAGTGGATTTATGACGAAAACATCATAGTAATAGAAAAAAAAAGAAATCTGGCTGAGTAAAAAAAATAAACAAAAAAAAATAAACATTCCTAATTCCTAAGTAAACAGTATAATAGACAGATCAGTACATTGAAACATATTTGAGTGTTTTTGACTTATTGGAAGCATGTCAGTTAAGAGATAATCTTTGGGTGTCGTTAAATAACTGAACATAGCTGGCGCGAAACAAACAGCCGCGTTATCAAGAATCGAGAATTTCACTCAGCTACAAAGACAGACGCAAGACACAAGGGCTTCTGCCTGACTTTTGCCTGCAGTTTTAAATACGAGATCAGGCCACCTGGTTTTTAACGTGAGGGACAGTTCGGTTGTGGGATGACCTACGGTCACCAGGCCGGGTACCTAACTATCAGTTTGGTTAGCGTGCGAACTACATACTAGACTACACTGTCCAGTTGTGATAACATTTTACTAAAGGTTGGGGATACGGGGTCTGGAGAAAATGTCTGACAACAATGAGGATAAGCTATGGGTGGGAGAGGGGGTTGTGTGTAAATAAAAGCGTGACTTTATTTGTGGACAATGAAGGGAAGATTCAATTCCGTACCGCGTTTAGAAAAGCAAGAGGTACCCTACTACATAGCCAACTTATCAACCATATTTTATATACTTTTTTCTTCATTCTTAAATGTAGTATTCGAAAATATCAAACACACTAACTTAACGAAAGCAACTCAATTAGCACCAGACTCAAAGGTCTTTAACTCATAAAGACACCCCCCCCCCCCCCCCCCGCCATACAATCGTTATCTGAGTTTGAGTGGGTATCAAGCAATTTAAAAAATGCCTTTGTTTACAACAGTATGTTTTATTCTTTAGCTAGATAACCTAATGGGATATGAAATAAATGAAGACTATCAGTGTACACATAATAATATAATACAAATATCATGGAAACAAAAGTGGAGAAAGGTAGTATCGATATCATTTATACTTAGGCCTACAGGGTCTATTTTGTTAGTTGGGTTTTACAGCTTGTCAACGTCTGAAGAAGAGTAAAATCATTGGTGAAAATAACATTAAAAATGTACCAACTCCCGCTAAATTCAAATGAAGTCAAAATGTTTTCTTATTTTCATTGATATAAATACCAACGGATATTGTGACAAAACATTAGCGATACCGCTTTCTCGATTTTTAGATTTAAGCCCCTACTATAATGCGTTACGATTTTCGTAGTTAAAAAATTAAACTAAAAACCATATAGTCATACTCAAATCGAAGCTAGTTTCATTATTTTTAGTTTGAAATAATTCTTTTTGTAACTTAATTTCAACATTGTGTTGAGTAATATCATATGCCTAATTCAATCATTGGCAGCATGTAGCACAGGCCACATCATATTAGCTCAATTCATACAATTTTTATTATTTTAAAAAGGTTAAATTATTATCTTTGAATTTACTCATTTACTAGTTTAATTATTAAAATTCTTTGAGAAAACAAATTATAACATTTGGTGACCTAAGGAACATGAAAATGTGGTATCGATACATTTTGCATAGTCTGCTAAACTGATAAACCTAAAATGAATATTCTAGTTAGAAATTTTAATAAATGAGCCGACCCGCGGCGTATCATACGCCGCTATTTAGTTGTTTTATTTTCTACTTTTCAGTAATTCATAATTTGTGAATTCGATAGTACCAACGCTGCCACTGAAAATATCTAAATATATAATTCTCTTCTTGGAGACCTTAGAAAACACCAAGCTGTAAGTGAGCCTAACAGTCCCCTCTCTTTGTTTCTAGGCATATCGCTACCACCCCGACATGGTCTGGTGAGCTGTGGTTCACGCTAAATGTTTACAATCTCAGAGCCGGTTTAGTGATGGCTATTAGGGGCAGATAATATAGTTTGAAACGATTTTAAACTTACGGAAGGTAACTAAGAGGAGGCTGCTTTCACTGGGGTGGGGGAGTGGATGGGGTAAGGGTTGGGGAAAGGAGGGTTTTAGTGTTTTAAAGCAAATATTTTCAGTGGCAGTATATATATATACACACATATATATATATATACACACATATATATATATGTGTATATATATATATATGTATATATATATATATATATATATATATATATATATATATATATATATATATATATACACACACACACATATATATACATATATACACATATATATACATATATACACATATATATATATATATATATATATATATATATATATATATATACACACACATATATATATATATATATATACACATATATACATATATACACATATATATATACACACATATATATACATATATATACACACACATATATATATATATATATATATATATATATATATATATATATATATATATATATATATGAATCCCTAAGGAAAAAAAGTTAGTAGGCTGAAACCAGCTTGGAAAAGATCAGTTGTCAATAAAGCAGCTGGAATGTTGTGGAGCTTAGAAAAATCACCCACAACCGCGTGTAATGGAGATGTGTGGTTGCATCCTATTCTCCTCAAGGGGTCCACAGGAATAATACTAAATGACGTTCAATATACACTTGGCTAGATAAATGGCTGTTGAGTGAGAAATACAACTGCGGCTAGGTTTATAGTGTTGTTTTTATCTCTAAAAAACCCCAAAATCACCTTCAAATTTAACCCGAAATGAAAATTATTGAAAATATTAAATTAGGCATTATTAAATTAGGCATTTAATTTTTTTTTGTTTCTATTTTCAATGACGGCATATTATTGTGTATTGTTTTCCACATTTGATTCATAATTCTAGTTTTTTATTTAACAATCAAATCGCCTAGTACAAACCACACCTAGCACAACCCACACCTCATACCACTAATCACATGATCCACACCCATTCACTTATCCTACACCATTCCCAATACTCTATAGCCTATTTCACTACACACATAACCTCACAACACACTGATTAGAACAAAACTCAACCCACTTACCCTACACCCAAAATCACACCACTCTTCACACACCCAACCCTCATTATGCATGAACAACACTCTGAAAAAAAACCATCTCCATCTCCACCCCTATCCCACACCCCATTATTCTAGCCACACCACCCCATACCCCAAACCTAAGCAACAGGACATCAACTTACCCCAAGAATAACACATAATAATTCATTATCAACATACAGACCACTTCTCATTACCCCACCCCTAAACACAAATACGTCTCACAATAGATTAAACCCCACACCAACATGCTCCAGATATCAATATATGCATTTAACAGCAAAGTTATAACTAATAATATGTTTTATGCATTTTGGTTTACTGTAACCCCATTATAAAAAGCCTTCCTGGAAAAGTCTCTGGAAAAGTCTCTGCAAAAATTTTTCCAAAGTGACATTTCCTGGCAGTAGGGTGTGATTTGGCTATCTCATTACGAACATGTTAACCCCAGGTGTCTGAGCCCAAAGAGCAAGCATATTGACCTTCCCTTTCACATCCAAGACAAAGCCCAAATGCATATATTGATAAATGAGTAAGGAATAACATTTACATTGTACAGAGTTTTAATCTGGAAATCAAAACGTTTCATGTGTGTGAATTTACTTAAATAATGGGTGTCTAGGGCAATACAGATTATTCTACTTTATGTAGGAAACCAAATCACAGATAAGTGACCTAAACTTATGCGTGAGAGCACATTAAAGTTTATTTAGACCTCAAAATAATTCCACTATAAAGTTTGATTAAAAAAAAAAACATGTTTATTGAATTTTGGTTAAAAACTAGTAAGCTATTATAGGTTACTATTCAAAATTACTCACAATTCTGACAATCTTACTTTTATCATAAATTGGACATTAAAAATTATGTTTATTTGAACCAAGCCTGTGATGTAACTGTGAGTATTATCCTAATTGCTTTATCTATGTTTGTAATTTTCTTATTGACAAGATAAATGGTCTTTTGAGGGAGAGATACAACGGGCGCTAGGTTAATAGTGTTGTCTTTTTTCTCTAAATCGAAACACAAAATCACCACCTCAACTTCAAATTTAACCGGAAACAAAAAAATTGAAAACGGATTTCTGACCAGAATCGTCATTTTAACCGGAATTAAGCTTGATCTAAGCGTAGTTACTGCATATTGATATTAAACATTGTTGAAGTCATATCCCTAAACCTTGCACCTAATCTCAAACATGACATAATGCACCCCCCCCTCCCGCCCACTCACACACCCTAAAGCACGTCTACCGTCCCATTCAACAAAATATAATTTTTATAGAAAACATATTTTTATAAGTGTCCGCCCCCTTTCAAAAAATTTAGTCCACCCTCAAAAACAAAGTTGTTAAACCTATATTGATGGGAGGAATGACCCTACCTATTGGCTTATATTATAGATAATGCATTTGTGTTGATTTTTATAAACATTTTCTTAATATAGGCAAATATTACCAAATATTGGCATATAATGTGTCTTATGTTAATACATTTATCTAAATTACATTTATAAATTTCAGGCCATAACAACAGGCAGTACACAAAGCTTTGTTGATGTCATTCTTAACTTTGGAGCTTCTGAATTAGAAGAGGATAATTTTGTTGCACAGTTTAAAAAAAACGGGTTCAAGATAATATTTTTTGGCGATGATACATGGTTGAAGCTTTTCCCAGGATATTTTGATAGATATGATGGCACAACATCTTTTTTTGTTTCAGATTTTACAGAGGTTTAGTATTTTAAGCTCTTTTAAAAAAAAAAAATTAACAATGTTAGCTTATTATTGTGAACTTAAAATCATACGATTTGATCATTATATATTTATTTAAAAATTAGGTTGACAAGAATGTTACGCGCCATGTGATACCAGAATTAGATAATCCATCTTGGGATGTAATGATTCTCCATTATCTTGGACTTGACCACATTGGACATATTTCTGGGCCAAACAGTCATTTAATACAGCCAAAATTAGCAGAGATGGATAAAGTAGTTCATCAAATTTATACCAGTATGATGTCTTGGGTAATTATTAACTTTAATACCATTTGTTGTTGGGAAATGATTTTTGAACTTTTAGCTTAAAATATAATACTAGATAACCCAGTTTCCAGTTTGTAAACCTAAACAAAATCCTTGCCTTAAATAATTTAGTTAAAAACCCGGTTATTTATTGGTATTTTTTAAAAGCTTTTTTTTTTTTTTTTTTTTTTTTGCTGCCCAAAAAAAAAAAAGATCCCTTAGTTGTCATTGTCTTCATCAGTAAATAATATAATGAATATAAACATTAATCTCTTTAATCATGGACTAGAAGATCTGTCAAACATATTCCATAAAAGATTGTTAATATTGGTGGGACTACTAGGAATAACAAATTAAAATATCATTAAAGCTAATGTCAAAGTAACAACAATGGATTGGAACAATTAACATGCATTGGATTTTCCACTTAGTACCGTCTGTACAGGAAGATTTAACAAAAAATGTTATGACTGCATGGGTTTCAGACTTGCATCTTAAAAAGAGTGTCTAACATGCTGTTGATTCTGCCAGGCGTCTGGAGAAAATATTTCAAGTTGTTATACATAGTCTTCTTGAGATAGTAAAATATTATTTTAAATTTGATTATATCCTAATTATACCTATTCCTTTGCTAAGAAACAAAGATTTATATAAAATATTTTAGGCCTGAAATTAATTGGTAAAGAAACTCAATTATTCATTGTGTTTTATACTAATTTTTGTTCATAACCATCAGTTGTCCGATAGCTTAAGGCTTAAATGTAGTTTACCAACATCTAGAAAAATTCATAGTATTCTTAAATTAGAAGAACTGTCAAGCATATTCTATTGAAAATCAATAGTAAAAAATGACAGAGATATGGTTTTAGCTACAGCAGACAGAAAATTTAGCATTTTACCACATCTAACTTATCAATGGGCAACATGGCCTATTCTTGGAAGCCATGTTTAGTGTAAAAATAAGAAGGCTAAATAAAGTATATGTTTTCAACTTGTATAATTAAAATTATGTTTCTACATATGAATATATCAATAAATTAATTAATGGCCTTAAATTTGTTTATAACATTTTGGGGAAAAAGAACATTGTTCTCTACATAAATACGTATTTTGCAGTTCTACACATGGGTGCAGATGCTCTGATCAATTAGAACTGACTAACAAAAAATTAAACAAACAAATAAATATACAAAATACTGATTTTTATTAGAATATAGATAACCAAAATGGAGAGAGTATAATTCTGCTCTTAAGAGTAAAGATTGTTAATTCTGACATAAAATGTTAGTTTCAACTTTTTCTTGCATGACAAGGTTATAAAACCAAAATAGAACATAATTTTTATGTACTCATTTTGATATTTTTCATGGCAAAATTATTAAAGATTGCATATATATGAAGATAATTTAATGAGAATAGCTTGCTAATTCCCCACAGACTACTTTCATTAATAAAGCATAAACTTTCGTACTTTCAGTGTATGTATTGTTAATGGATAAGTGCCATTCATACTCAACCTCATTCTTGAGTCTTTTAACATTTATTATGCATTGACAATATGTATATTATATTATGAAACACCTCTCAGAAATGACAAAGAAGTAAATGGACAATATTAAAAAGTATGCACTTCTGTATAGGATAAATCAAGTATTTTAGTGGTTTGTGGAGACCATGGCATGAGTGACCAAGGAGGCCATGGGGGTGCATCACTTGGGGAAGTTTCTGTCCCAGTATTGTTTCTGAGTCCCCAATATATAAATAAAGGTTATTATTTCTGTTTTCATTTTTAAAAGAGGTGTATGGCATGAGTGTATTTAGAATAAGTTTAATTTTTTATTGTTAAAAATGTTAAAAGCCATTTACTATTTTGAAGATTATTTTTAGATCATTTTATTTAGTTTTGTAAATTGTATCACAGATCCAAGGCATTCAGGATTCATTTCCCAAAATGATATTTGTGCTACTGTCTCTGTGCTTATGGGTATACCTATACCAATAAACAACATCGGCAAAGTTCTCTTGGATACTTTATCAAACCATACAATCCATCAAAAAATAGAAGTCATGCACCAAAATGCACAGCAAGCTATTCAAGTTTTAGAGAACTATATTTCGAATGTAGAAAAAGGTAAAATATCTTTAAATATTCCCATTTCTGCATTTTGAAATTAATTTTTAACAAGCGTATCAGTTACACAACAAGGTGACAAAAAGTTTTATAAGGGTTTCTTTAACCTGTTACTAATTGTGTGACCTTGTTTTTTAAATGTGAGTCATTTAAATGTAAACAAAACCCGCTCATCTGTGACCGTCAAAGTGTCAAAAGTGTTGACCCCTGGTTTGGTTTAGTCATCGTATGTAGAAGCAGATGTGTCTCTAGTGTAGAGGACTCTTTAAAACAATTACAGGCTCTGTGTCAATTGTTGTGGTTTGACAGTTCAATCAAATAGTATCCCTACCCCCATCCCCCTTGCAAGATGTCCAATCAACAGACTCTTGGGGAACACCACTCCTCCTAAATTAATATTATTTTTTGCTGAAACTTCCCAGGAGTATTTTCATCAACTTCCCAATGTTTCATGATGTAATAATGCCTGTGGGCAGTAGTGTCAACAAACCAATGCCTCAGCAACAATGATCTAAGAAATATAGTGCCAGCATTGTTTACAATTTTTTAGGTTTAGAAAGCAACTAAAAACACATGATTAGTAACATGATCAGACCCTTATAAAAAGTTGTGTCACTCTGGTGTATTGAACAAGATCACACTTACTAGCTACTGGTATGCTAGTCTATAATTATAAATAAAAGTATGTCTGTCTAGCTGTGCCTGTTATGCATTTCTACACCATTCATCTGATCACAGTAAAACTTTAAGAAATTGTTTAGAATTCTACTGGGAAGGTTTCAGCTATCTAAGAAAATGTAAAATTTCAGAGGGGTGATGCTACAGCTGTTAGGATATTACTTGATTCACTGGTCAAACTGCACCAGGCTGGTAGAATAGATTAACTCTCACCCCAAGAACTAAGATCCAAGAAATATATTACCAACAGTTAGAGTAAAAAGGGATATGAATCTGAAAGTACTGATTGATAACACATTGATGAAACACTCAAAGTGTGATTATTTTGGTGTGTAGTACTATATTGCAGCAACATTTGATGGGTACATTATTTATTTATAATGCTGTTGTCAGAAAAAATAAACACATTTAAATTCCACATAAATGCAACATTATTTATTTATGTGCACATTTCAGGCAGGTGAAATACTAAAAGTAAAAATAACAAACAAAAATAATTTTCTTTTTTCAATTGTTTTATTTTAACATCTGTCCTTTTGGTGTGTATTAAGATTGTATAGCTACCATTTGTATTTATCTAATATTGTATATTAATGTTCGTCTTTTTATTTAAAAAAAAAGACCAATCACCCTAAAAATGATGTCACTCTTTAGTACTCTACTGTGACCCAGAAGTATTTTTTTTAACAAGCAATTTTTCTAAAATATTGAGCTTAAGAAAGGGATACTAACTGGTTGCTTGGTAGGTTGATTTTCCTGGGACCATTGCCAGTCACTATCTTCTCTAAAAGTTTTAGCTAATCTGGGTTAATTTAATATTACAAATAATCTGATTAATTTTGTGTTACTTTTACAGAAAGTCATACTTTACAAAAGTCAAAATAACTGGTGAAATTCTGTTTCAAAAATTACATTTTAAAATGGATAAATGTGACCATCATACTCTCTTACTCTCTCCCCCACCCTATCTTGCTTTCCACACATCATCCCAAAAGTTACAAACCTCTTTCCTCTTCATAGCATGACATCCCCTACGTTTTTTAAAATTACCCTACATTTTTTAAAATAATGGTCAGTGCCCTTTTTCTGCTTATTTCTATGTGTGACTGTTATTTTGTGAAATCTTTCAAGGAATGGATTAATAACTCAAACTTGACAATTGCTTTCTACCAAAAACATTCTTGGTTACATATCTCTGGGGCTATTAAAACTATCAAGCAATTGATTGTGTGTTCTTATAGATTTGTGAATGTTATAATCAATTTAAATTTTCAGATTCTTCACACATTCTTTATACTAAAGCTGAAATAGAGTATCAATCTTGGCTGCTTTCAAAAACTGGTGTTTCTTATGAAGCATGGGAGAAACAAGGTCATTCTATTATAAATATGTATTCAGAAAGTTTGACTCTACTTGCTGAAAAAGTGAGGAGACTAGCAACACAGTATGATGTTTATGCTATGTCTGTATCCATGGTTTTAATGTGGTTGGTATGTAACAATCTATTTTCTTCCATTGATTTTTAATATAGTTTTTTTTTTTAAAATTCAACTAAATTTTAATTTTTTTTTTCTTTTTGCTTTTTATTTAGGAAATGATGCATAGAAGTTCTTTGATTAATAGTTTGTTTTGTACTTGTCAGTTGGTGGCTTCCCTTTTAATCAACTTGATGAGAAGACATTACAACTTGCCTAAAGTAACTACTGCAACTCTTGTGTTCAGAATGGCCATTATTCTTTCCTCTGCTCTACTTTCTCATATCACAATGTGCACAGGTAGGTATATTTTTTTAAACCATTATTTAAATTATACTTAAAATCCCTACCTGTATCTCATCATCATTGAGCCAGTTCTAAAAAAAAGATTTACTAGTAGAAGTAGGTATAAGACCTTTTATATGCATTTAGGAAATGACTACGTGTTAACTGACAGAAGGGCAATGGTAATTATGGAAGCCAAAATCAGAAACACAACTTCTGACGAACATAGTTGATAACTCGATTTAGCTAATTGTCATTCACATAGATTAATAGTTAACAATCTTTTCTGCTTTACTGTTTGATCGCCTGACATTCCCACAGTATGCTCAATTATCATTGGCGCAGTAAAAAAATCATATACTCAAGAAACACAGTAAATCATAAGTGTGGGAATTATTTGAGCTAGCTCAGAAACAATAATTACCCTTGATAACAAATACCAGGGAATAAGTTTGACAACAAATCTTAAAATAGAACATCTGTTCAAAAGTGCCCATTAAATATCTACAAATCTCACAAATTATAATATTTTATTCTTTTAGGTAGTGTTCCAAGTGATCTTGTTTGCAGTTCAAGTCTGTACAGTGTTTTCATACAACTGATACTAGCATTCATCTACTTAAAATGTTGTATGGACATTATGACAGTGTGGCATACCGGTTTGTCTGCAGCTCAACATCTTAAGGTATTTAACATTCCCTCCCCCCCCCAATCCCAAGTTTTGTTATGTTTTATCTAGTTGAGCCTATGCAGCAAACATAAATTAATGTGGATCTCAGATAGATCACTTTCAGAAGTTCTTATTTTATTAGTGTTCTTCTATTCATATCTGTCATTTAATTTTACTGGAAATAAATGTTCGTACTTATATTTTCTTTATTTAACTATATTAAAATAAATAAAATTGTAAAACTTAAAAGTGGTGGATTATACTCACAACTTACACACTTTTACTCCTGAGTGTCAGTAGAACTATTTTCTTCAACTTATACATCAACTTAAACAGAGTGTGTCCACTAGTATTTGCTTTACCCTCATCAAGGAATCGAGACACTAGACAGACTCACGTGATTTAAATGTGTTTATCAATTAAAGAAGTACACTCTGAGTTGCAGCTTCTAATTAAATCACTTTATTAATCATTATACAAGGTGTATTCCTCATAAGAATAACATCAATGTTCCACAAAAGAATAACACATGTAATAAACCAACAGACCTCATCTGTCATGTTTTCGCAAGTTCATACACAGAAGCTCCTTCTCACGTTTCTAATCTGGTTCTGCTGTCTCTTTTCTAGTTGAGCCCTATTATATAGCTTCAGACCTTCAGCACCTGACACTTGGTATTGGGGTTAGCTAACTTTTGTTTACACGTTAAGTTCAATTTTTGTCAAACTATACTATACTGTGTCTGCTGCATTGGTTAAAAACAAGTGGCATATTGTTTACAATGAAATTATATTTTAATCAGACTAGTTGATATTTTCATATAAGGTTTGATAGCAACATCCAATTTACATCGAGCAGTTATTTTATTGTTTATCAGTACATTCTGTCAACAAGGGTAAGGTCAAGGCTAAAAATGAACAGAGCTGTTATGTAACTGTGAAGTAAACAAGATGTTTTTTCTTAAGTCTGGTGACTAATATAGAATTTGCTAAAATAGAATTTGACTTGTCAATAAGAGGTGACACTTTGATGTCAACACGTTATTTTGTAACCAATGCAGTAGACAGAAGGACTAACAAATATGAAATATGACGGAAAAAGGTCGTATCAAAATAGAATAGTTTGACCTTGACAGACATTGTTGACAACACCTGCTGTGTATATAAGCAATGCTACTTTAGGGTATGTCGCAGAAATGCAGAGAGAATGATCAGAGGCTGAAACTGAAATGTCCATGGACAGAATGTGTTGAGATAATTGTGAGGACCGAGACCGAGAACAAACTTCTGTGTTGAAATTTGTGTAAGACAGAGACAGAATGGTTGTGGATAAACATGTGGTTGGTCTAGGCTATGGTGGCCTATAGTGCAACTAGGTGTTTGTTTGAGGATTGATTGTGACAGATAGTGGTTACAGAAAATGATTGAATGTAGAGAACAGTGTTGGTAGAATGTGAGATATGGAGTGATACAGTGTGTGGACCTGTGGCATTAGAGGTCTGTTGATTTTCAAGTTATTCTTGCAGCACACACACACACATCCACACACACAGACACACACTAGCTGCATACCTGTGCTTCACCACAGTGAATCTTTTTTAAATGTACCAACTTGGGAACAGAACAAAATTATACACAAACACAACGCAAATGAAACTTAAACACAAACACACTTTATCAAATCACGCTTTCCCAGAAGGTCAGCAATCAGAGAGAGCCTTTTCCACATTCTCTCATTTAACCATCCCTTTAAATAACACCAAAAAAACACCTATAAAACTCTGCACCGACTAATGAAAAAAATAATATGAATAATCTTAACATTAATCTATTATAATTATGAGCCCTAACATAATAATCAATGCAATAGGAATAAAAAAAAAGAATTACTTAAATAGCAATATTTAGCATGAATTGAATTTCTTTTTTAAATACCTCCCCTGGCATAATTATTAAACATTTTAATTGATTAGTTTTATTCGACACTACTGTTATTGAAATTAATTTATTTTTAAAGGCATATAAGCAAAAGTATTATTTGACAGATCCGTTCAATATATTTTAGCAATGTGCGTGTATTTAATATTTTCTTCACGTTCTTTTGTTGACGGATACAAAAGAGTGATCCCCTCCAACACAATTAAGTATACATGTCAACTGGTTATGCGCCATTGAGGCCGTTGACTCTAATTCAGCCTGCTTTGTTTTTTGGATTTGCTTCCATAGCCTTTGTCCAACCAAGAACAAACTACAAGGCAGCAGTTGTTTGATTTTGGAGTTATCTCTCCTAGAAGAGTCTCTGTCCCCAGCTAATGAGCCTCATCTGCCCAAGGGTTTGAACTCAAGACTTTTTGGTTTAGCAACTATGAGCTTTACCGACTTGACCATGTTGACCCCTTGGTAAAATCACAGCATGTGGTGTTTATTTTTATGTTTCCAAAATCTATAGCGGTGAGGGAAGGACAGAAGGAAGGACTGACACACTACCTGGCCACTTATATTATAGAAATATATACACACATATATATATTTATTTATATATATATTTATATATATATACAGACACACACTAGACATTAAGACAGTTGAGTCAAGTTAAATTTCAATAAGAATAACACTAAATCTAAACTGAACCAAAACAGGAACTTGAGCTTTAATCAAAACCGAAGCTTTACCTGTGACTTTAAAAGGAACTGGAACTTTAGCTTTCATCAGAATTAGAACTTAAATCTGCAATACACAGCTCTGATGGGTAGTTGACTCACATTAGTGAAACTAATGTGGCTGGGCACAGAGCTGACTACACTATCCCTCTCTATACAAATATCATAAAAACAGATGACTCTACTTCATCTGTCCATTTGTCATGAGCTCAGTCGGAAAAAGATGATGAACCCTAATTCTAATGCTAACTAACTTTAGCCCTAACTGTAACTTAAATCCTAACCTTAATCCAACTGCCATTTATTATTTTAGCGTACGCGTTTTTTTGTCGGTCATATCAGCTTTTTAGCGCAATTTCCATTCTGGAGAATTGCGTTTATTAACTCGTCTTTTCTGGGAATGTGTGTCCGGGCTTTAAGTCGTATCTCCTCCTCAACGAAGCAATATCGATGACTAGTTCCAAAAGCAATTATGTTAAGCAAGTTACCAGGATGAACCTAGGCCATAAAAATTCCGGGTTTCTTTCATGGATTTCCCGGAAAAGCCAAAAAACCTCGAACAAATGCAGTTTTTGGCCCATATCTCGGCAACCAGACCACTTAGCGACTTGAAACATGTACCAATCGATTCCTGCCATAATTTAGAACAATATTGCCGAAGAAACTTTTCAAAAATATCCTTTCGTTCGGTCACAAAAAATTTTTTGAATTAATTAAAATTTGGACCGAATTAGTAGGCATTTCGTCCAACCACACCACACGCGTCATCGCGTTCAATAGCTGCGCCATCACGTTCAATGGCTGCGTCATCACGTTCAGTAGCTAGGCGCGCAATGGTTTTTAGTCATGTAACTCTATTGTAAATAAAACATGTAAAATACTGAAAAAAAATTAATAAAAAAAGTTTTAATAACTAACCAATGGTTTTACTAACCCTGCTCTTGATTTACGCTAAGACAGAGCTATTTTTGGATAACATAAGGAAATTGCGCTAAAATTGTCACTAGACTTTTTAATTAACTTGTTTTGTATTTAAACATACAGACCAGGAACTTTCACCTTAACAGAAACTTTAACCTGAAATGGAAATTGATCTGGAAACTTCAAATAAACAGGATACTACTTAAGCTGAAAATTATTATTTATTCAGACACTGAAATTTAAATTGTTTTACAAATTTAAAATGATTCAGTTAATTTTTTAACTACGTTATTTACCATTAAAGAAACAATGAATTTTTCAGTATTTGAGTAGTTCAACCCCAATTATAATGAATATCATAATTTACTTTTCAGATATGGATCCAGAATGCTAATATTATTGAGATCTTCCTTGTTTTTGGCACTGTTGTGCATACGATGTCATTGTTATCTAGCAGTTTTATCGAAGAAGAACATCAAACTCTTTATTTTCTTTTGACTTCAGTTCATGTGCTTTTGTTAGTAAATCAGGTCTTCCATTTCATTTGTCATTTGGAAAAAAAGAAAAATGTTAACTTGGATGAAGGAAAAGCAACCATAATTGATCAGGACTATTTAAAACCTACACACAAAAGTATAAGTAATTTTAATAGCTTTGAATATGAGACAGCATTGAATGCTGAAGCTGAAAATATTTCTTGTGATACTGTGTTTAAAGACAACACCCACCTCAAAAGTATAGGAGGGAATCATGGTAATAAGTTTGTGAATTCTTATTTGACTGAAGCAAAAGGAATTGCAGAAAAATCTAAAATCTCACTGTTTTTGTGTAATGTATCTGTTGTTTTGATAATTTTAAGAATTTTACGAAGATGGAATCAAACTGGCAACAAATGGCTTGATGTACCTGATTTTGGAGACTGGTTTATTCTGTGAGTAAACATTTTGTAAAGTTATACTTAGTGAGAAGGTGAGAAGCAATTTAAAACAAAAATTTCCAAATGCTATAGAATACAAAATAATTTTTTCTCATGTCTTCTAAAGAAGTCATACATTAGGTAAAAAAATGAATATCAGGTAAGCTTAATCATTGTTTTTAAAATGTTATATGTGTACCGACATTATATGGATTTTCAAAAGATTCTTTCTTTAACCTTTCTTCCAGGCCAGAAAACAAAAACTATTTATCCTTGGTAGTTGTCTTCTCTTTAATGATCATCAGTGTTACAAGAACTAGTTGTTTAAAGAGAGCACAAAGTTTATGTATAAATTTATCACTTGCAACAATCTATTTATATCGTGTGGCATGTGGAAACCTGTTTTTTCCAGTTACATCATTTCTATCTTCAAGGTATGTCATAAATAGGTTTCAGTTTAATTTTTTGCCTACCATACTTAACCAGTGTTCCTTTGATTCATTTTAATCCATATTTTCTGGTCTTTACTTTCAGTGGAATTGTTGAAGCTCGTGCAGCTTTTCTTCTCATTGGTCTGGCACTCATCATCTCAATCTTACCAAATAATTTTTATAAGCTAGAAAGCCAAAAAGTTAAATCTGCTACCTCTACTTTCAATAGTTCATCATTTCCTCAAAAAAAGAAAGCAAATAATACACACTTGAAACACTCTGGACCCAATTTAAAAATAAACGAACCTTTACAAAATACTTCATTTAATCAAGAACCTAATGCTAATTCACAAAGGAAAGTTTCTTTGGAAGAAGCAAAAGCTGAAGAAGTGGTGATAACAATTGATCAACGCATGAAAGGGTTTTCCTCAGCCTTTCTGTGTTTTATGTGCCTTGTGTCAAGACCCCAGGGAATACCTGTGCTTGCCTTCTTGTCAGTTATTGAACAAATTATGATACCTATTCTCATGGAGAAAATGAGCCTTTTATCAATATTGATTTACTGTTATTGGATGGGCAATGCTTTCTTTTTCTTCCAGGTAATTGTTTTGCATTCAACAAAATGCCAATTTTGCTATTTTGAAAAAAAAAAGTTTAAAAAAAATCAATAGTAACATTATGTAACAGAAATAGGATATGTTTTTGTTTACCCACCTAATGTTTTTAAAATTTTCAGAGATCACCACCACCACACATATTATTTCTCTAGGAACCCACATCAATTGTCACTATTAGAAATAATAATAAAACCTAAAAAAAAAATTGTTGAATAAAAGAATATTAGCTGGTTAAATCAAACTATTCTTAGAGCAGAAATCTCACAGAAATGTTAAGAAAAATCAGAGGCACTGTAATAGAAATATTAGATTGCTCATACAGCACTGTATTTTTACAAAATGTACCCTTATGTTATATGAACACTATCTCAAACAGTGGTCATTTTAAAAAATGCTAAATTAAAAAAATCAGTACCAGATACAAATATAATTTTCAGGGTAATTCCAACAGTCTCAGCACAATAGATCTGACAAGTGGTTATACTGGATTGTACGAGAGTAACTTTTACATAACAGGTCCACTCCTGTGTATGTCTACGTATGGAGGAACCATATTTTGGTTCATGACCTACATAAGAATTATCTTCATGCTGCCCAATACTGACAAAAATAATTCTCAATTCAGGTATATTTTTACAGTATGATATTGTGTAGCTTTGTAAAACAAGCATAACAAGTTCAGACATTTTAATTAAAACAAAAAGTAGACTTCAATCTTTTTTTCATTTCGAGAGTATTTCTCCGGTGAGCGTAAAAAAGTCACAGGAAAAAGAAACTCAGATAAAAGTGTTTTTGCTAGGGGAAAAAAGTCACAGAAAAAAAGTCACAAATTAAACATTTTATTGGAAAAATGTCACAGAAAAAAGTTACAAAGAAATAAATTGATTTAATTGTTGAGAATTGTAAATGGACAGCGAGTTACAAATTAACTACTTCTTTATGCCATTTCACGCTAATTTAAAGTTAGTATTAAATTAACACGATGAAAACCAAGAAGGTTGGAACATTCTATTAAATTCTGTTAAGTATTATATTAAAACTTACATACTTCATACTAAATATTTTTATGTGTGTTATAAATATTACTATGCATATACAATCTACGCACATATAGGCTATCCAAATGTTTACATTACATTTCATTTGATTTAAGTTGATTTGCACTTTCTGAATATTTAACACGTAAAAGTATTAACAAATTCCATGCAAATACATATTTGTGACATTTTTTCCTGTGATTTTTTTCCTGTAATTTTTTTCCTGTTATTTTTTTCTGTGACTTTTTTCTGTATTTTTCCTACAATTATCTGCCCTATAGACCATTGGTTCTCAAACAGGTTTTTAACAATTCCTGAACCCGATATAAAATAATTATAGTAAATTAAATTTAAAAAACAACTGCTTTGTAAATCTTAAACATTAAGTTAATGGAGGGAGAATTTTTCTGCACTGACAAAAAGACCTAGATTTACAGAAGTCTTATTCTTGAAATCAGTAGAAGGATTATAAAAAAACAAATTAGAAAACCAATATTAATAAGCTTTTGATAAATGCACTCAAAATAAAAGAAACTTATTTACTTAAGTAGAAGTAAATGCATTTTGTAGCCTACAAAATCAATGCTTTACTATATAAAGCAAGTTTGCTTTGCTTCATTTTCCTATTTTCAGTGCATTCAAAGGTTATTATTATAAAGATTTTTCATGTTTTATTTTATACATTTTAATATTTTATAATTAATAAATTATTTTTAACTTTTTAAAATGAACTGTTCTTTCTAATGAAAAATTAATTAATAGTAGTAATGCTAATAATAGTTATATTTCATATCTAGTTTTATATTTATGCATACAAAATATACCTATAAAATACGAGAAAAATGGCCCGTTGAGGAAGGATACATCGGGCGCTAGGTTGATAGTGGTGTCTATTTTCTCTAAACTAAATCAAAACCAAAATCACCACCTTAATTCAATTTAACCGGAAACGAAAAATGACATTGAAAACGGATTTTTATCCAGAATCGGTACTTGAATAGGATTTAAGCTTGATCATTACGTAGTTACTGCACATTGATACTAAATATAGTTGCAGCCATACTCCTAAACCTTGGAACTAATCTCAGTCATGACTAAAGTCGCATTTAGATGTTTCCACAATACAAATAAGTATTAAGATATATACAATTATAAATATAAACTTTGCATTTACATATTCAATTGAGATGCAGGAAAAATGTGCTTTCAATTAATGTTTTTAAAATTTTAATTTTTTTAAATATGCTATTTAAAATAGAACAAATAAATCAATTGAAGGGAACCCCCCCCCCCCCCCCCCCATAAAAATATTATATATCCTTAAAAACCCACAAGGATAACATTTAATGGAAACATGTAATTTATATACAAAATATATACTTTAAGTTCAGTCCCTTCCTTAGAAATTTAAGTCCGCCTCATCTTGGAGAAAAATGTCAGATTGTAGATGTGGTCTGGAGTTTGTGTGAAGAAGGGGTGGAAATGGTAGCTTATATAATAATTGACTGAGTCATCTGTCTGTATGGAATGCAACATAAGTAACTACACTATGTATGATTGAATAAAAAAAAATGGTACTTATTTTGGATGAAATATTTGTTTATGTTTTCACTCCATGTTGTTTCCATGAAACTTTATCCTTTTGACTTGACCCAGACAACGGGAATATTACAAAACAAGATTAAACACATTTTTTTTGCCTGTGATCTGACAGGCTTGGCAGCTAGTTTTAGAAGTAGGTAAAAATTGTGTTACAAAGTTACAGGATTTGCCACAAACACATGGTTGACAGACTTTCAGAACTAAGCAGTTTATGAAAATGGGAATATTGCTTGAACATAAATTGGCAAACTGTTTTGACTGCATTTATTACAAATTTTAACCTCTAGGATTTTAATAAGGAACTTTAATAACTTTTTGCTATTTTTACCAATAACATTTTATATATTCACAGGCTTTCAGACTTGTTAACAACATCTGGCTACAGACTTTTATTATGCCGTGCTTTTCATACTGCTGCCTATACATCACTGGTCTCAGTTCAACGCTATCATTTGTTTGTATGGAGTGTATTCTCTCCTAAACTCCTTTATGAAAGTGCATATAGTTTTGTCACAACATTCATTTGTATCATTATGATTGTGTTGACATTTATTACAAAATAATATTATAATACAAAATACTTTTTTAATTAAGCTGTAGTTGTTTCAGTATTCTACAAAAAAAAAAAAAACCTGCATTTAAACAAGGCAATGTTTTTATCTACCACACTGCTGATCCAATTCGGTGTTAATATTTGCATTTAAAAAAATTGATATAATAATTTTGGCAAATGACCAATTTGATACCAGACAGCTGTGAGTGTGAGCATGTAACACACAACTCAAAACTTAACATATGTAAACATTTTATTTAAATAAATATAGAAATAAAAAACAAGAATAAACATGTTCAATATGTACATTTATTGATAAGGTATCATTTCTCAAACATGTCTAACAATAATCATATTTAAATACTGGTTACTTCATGATTCATACAAATTTCTTTTATAATTAGTAAATGAAACTTAAGAGTTTGAAAGTCATGTGGATTACATATGTATTTTACATGCCTTTTCAATAGTTTAACATAAAATGACAAATTTTTTAAAACAAATTTTTCGTTTTCTGTTTTTCCATTACTTTGTTGAATGTTAGAAAATAAGCAAGAAGTAATTAAAATTGATAACAGGGTAAGAAAGGCAGAACATTGAGTTACTGATGCATACTTAGAACCCACTACTAACTTATATGAAGATGATAAGGGGGCTATATCGGACTCAAACATTGTAGCCCTGACATTTATATCCTCGTGTGATATTTTGCTATCAACATATGATTGTGAATTGTCAACATCTTTTTCTAACTCCAGAAGTGAATCTGAAAGTTGTACATCTCTTAAAACAGATTTCATTTCCTCAGACCCTGCTAATTCTAAAGGTGTTTGACCATAAATTGTTTTGGCATTTAAAAGCCGTTTACCCCCATATTTGAGCAGGAGTTGGCATATATCTAAATGATTATTCCTGACCGCATCTAAAAGTGGTGTTATGCCATCTGGTGAGCTAGCATTCAAGTCAACCTTTAATGAATTCTCATAATTTTCTAAATATTGACTGGAATCAATGTTAGGCATATACTCAAGTAGAATTTTAACACATTCATAGCTACCATGTAGGCAAGCTTCATGTAATGGTGTCCAACCATAATGGTCTGTAATATTTACATTGACACCTGGCGTTAATAACAATTCCTTTAATTTTTCAAAATCATTTTTTTTACAACTAATGTGTAGAGCAGTTTCACCTTTACAATTTTTCTTATTAATTTTAGAAGTCCTGCCTTTTCCTAAATTGTGAGCAAGCTTGTGTTTTTTAGAGTTTTCATTTTTGCATGGTTTATTGCAGAAAACATGTTGGCTGCTCTCTGCAGCATAAGAATCTTCCAGAGGTGGTAGTAAAAAAAAGAACTGAGAAACAATGCTTGTAAGAGATATTGATTTCAATTGACTACTGTCAGACAAAAGGTGTTTGTTATATGACGATAATATAATAGATACAACTAGAGTTCGCAACCAGTTGAGGTGAATACAGTTGAGCAAAGAGGCCATCAATTCGTAGTTATCAACAATAAAAGAAGACTTTAAACTTGTAGCTAAAGCATAAGCGATAGCATGGGTTGAATCTTCTTCAAAGTTTGACCTACTAATGTCCCACTGAACACTTGCAAGACGAATGGCTTCAGAGGCCAAACTAATTAAAGAAAAAATTGCTGATGCTAAGCACAGGTTTGGCTCTGGTTTTGAAATTACATTTTTTAACCAGTTCAAGAGTTGGTTAGTTGAACTGTTGTGAAATACTGCCTGTGGACAGCCCCATAGCCATTTTATGATCAAACTTCTTTGGATGGATTTCTGATTTCCCTCTTTTAAACAAGAATCAAAATTTACTTCAAACATGGAAACAAAATATGTAAATAACCAAATTACTGGTGTAGACCTCTCTAAACCATCCAGAGTACCAACAGCCCCATCCAACTTCTCCACAGCATTTCTAAAAATGTCAATAAGAAAATAACGGTCACTTGTCAGATTGAATGCTTCACTGTAAACTCTAGTTAACTCTGGGGAAACAGGAGGATAAAGCTGAAGCCAAGACATCATGTGTTGATGAGCTTTACGTTGAACTTCAACTTCTTCATTGAGGAACAGAAGTAACAATTCTCTTAGAAGTAATGGTGTTGGGTAATGTCCAAGAAAAGGTAAACTGTAAGATAATGCAAAGTCTGAAATTAAAAGTTCCCTATCTGACTCCATACATTGACCAAATATCTTGTTCATCTCGGTAGCCTGTGAACAGGACAGTAAATCTACATTCAGAGGGTAAGACAATGGCCAGTTTCTTTCTTGTAATATTACATAACTGGACTTTGAAGTCTCTGTTTTTAAGGGTAAAGGAGACTTCAGACTACTTTTACTTGTATCACAATTTTTCACGCAGATTTTTGATTCAGGTGAATGGCTTGTGTCTTGTTTTAAACAACCAGTATAATGTTTTACTTTCAAAGATTTTTCTTCCTTTTTATCTTTATTACATTTGTCAGCTTCATTTAGTTGAAGAAACTTTACCAGGTTACGCCTAGTTTGCACTTGTGATGTAAGAGTTTTCTTTACAGTAGTAGATAAGGAAGGTTTCTGTAAACCTGGGGAAAAGAAAATTTAAATTGTAAATTCAGTGTGTAAACTGTAAGGTAAAGTAAAACTCCCATTTCAGACCTAAAGATCCATAGGACAGATGAAGTAGAGTTCATATGTTTCTTTACCTCGGCACATGAAGGGATGGTGTGGTCAGCAATATGCCTAGCTGCCTTTACTTTCCCCAATGTAAGTCAGGTCCCCATCGGAGCTGGGTGGACTATAGGGACAATCTACAGTTCCAAGTGAGGACCGAGATCCAAACTCAAGAACTTCGGGCTAGTAGCCTAATGCTCCACTATTAGACCACACTTTCCTATTCGTTCAGCATTAGACATAGTATTAACATAATCTCATCCATTTTACTTTATGAAGTTTTTATTTACTGAATCTGTTTTAAAGTTTGATAGCATCTTTTCTTTTTTTTCCAAATCACAGTTTTTGCAAATTAATAATTAAATAAATCAAGCTATTTTATTAATGACCAAAAACAGGCAGCTTTTAAGAGAGCTGCTTTTGTTTAGTTGAAAACAGGTATCTTTTATTTAACATTTAGCGATTTATATGCTTTATAGGCAATAAATACTTTTACTAACAAAAGGAATAGAATGACTCATTTTTCAAAAGGAATAGAATGACTCATTTTTGTTATTTAAAAGATTAAAGTCATTCTGTATATAAACATTTTCAGTAAGACATTGTAGTTGGTAATAATATGCTTAGGCCCTGTAACTTTAAAAAAAAATGATGAGCGAAATCACATACCGTAATAAAAAAACTTGTAAACAATCTATATATATATATATAATTCTCTTCTTGGAGACTATAGAAAACACCAAGCTGTAAGCGCGCCTAGCAGCCCCCTCTCTTCCTCTCGAGGCGTTTCCCCACCACCCCCACCCCACATGGTCTGGTGAGCTGTGGTTCACGCTAAATGTTTACATTCGTGGAGCTGGGTTTAGTGACGGCTATTAGGGGCAGATAATTTAGTTTGATAATTACTTTAACTGTATAAAAAAATTGAATATAACTATTACCAACACCCTTTTTAGTTTTTATTGAAAATATGGGTGGTCATTATAGAAGCTATGCAGAATAAGAACTGTTAATCATTTTAAAAAGTTTTGTTGACAAAAGTTTTAAAGCAGGACAAATAATGTTAAATATTTTGAACAACATTTGGAAATTCAATATTTATCACAAGCTAACCTGTAGGAAAATAATTTTATATTTTTAAAAGAAAAAAGTATGAAATCAAGTCACCTGTAATGAAGGATGAAGAAAATCCAAACTGTTTTAGACTGGTTTGACTCTTTTTTGGTGTAGATATGGCAAAAGGGCTGGAGCTTATTTGTGAAAAAAAACTTTTTTCACAAAGTGTTGTCTTGGTGATTGATGGTGAAGTTGTTAATTCCATTTCATCATGTAATTGTTTGCCACCTTTAGTTGGAGAATTATTAGCATACAACTTTGCAATATCATTGTCTAAAGCACTAACAGTTGCTTGTGCATTACTTGCAGATTTTTTCACTACTGATACATTTGGTCTTCTTTTACACTTTTTTACATCAACTTGAAATTTTAGCTTTTTTTTTAGTAATTTAGAATCTAATTTGGAGTGATGTAAAGGATTCTGTTGAAGTAGTAGTTTTGGTGATGTATGTCTCTTGTTACAATTATCTCCGACAGATTCTGATTGACTTAATAATGGCTTTTGAAATGTTCTTTTTCTCTGCTTTCTCAACTTTTTGACATTAATTTCTTCACTTTTAATTTTATCCAGTTGTTTTTGTTGAGACAAAGGGGAATTGCCATAAAGATAAATATTTGGTGGAAGGGTTAAAAATGCTGTGGATGCATTAGATGATTTGTGTTCTTTCTTAGGTGTAATAGTTAATACATCAAAATCACTAATATTACTTAATGGAGTATGATATTCTTGATAATCGTTAGTACTAGATTTAACTTGTGGAGTCAACAATTTGTCATTTATAACATCATGGATCTCTGTTCCTGATTTAACTATTAAATTAGAATCATCAGGTAGGCCATAAAGATACACATTCTTTTTCAAGGAGTTACATTGTACATTTGTTGAGTAAACTTCCTGATGGTTTTCATTTTCCACCTTCATTTTATTTTCATTTTCTATTGAAAGTTTTCTATTTGCAATCTTTTTTTGCACTTGTGGCTCAACTTCTTTAAGAATTCTATCTTTAAAAATATTTGCTTTATTAGTTATTACTACACACTGTAAATTCTCTGTGGCTTTAGAAAGATCACTCAAGTTAGTACATTTGATGTTATGACCTGTTTCAACGTCCTCCAAATGTATTATGCCAGGTTTGATTGCTAATATGCTTTCATCTCTTCGACTGACCACTTTTATAGAAACTTGTTTTTTCTTTTGCATTGAACCTATATTATTATACTCATGGATATGAATGGCATTTACTTTGTCCTTTATTTTAAAATTTGGATCATCTTCATCATCAGAGATCATAATGGGTTCATAGTTGTTGGTGGCTTGGTCTACACAACTGTTTTTGTGTTGTAATTCCACACTGTCAGTGGTAAGAAAAGTTGGAACTGAACTACTTGGCAAGAATTGCATGGAGCTTTTACTTTCACTGCATTTATTCAGACTACTAAAAAAATGTTCATACTCTATGTTGAAATTTTGCTTCATAGGACTGTTTGTTATCTGATAATCAAATGGATCCAGTTCTTCATCCTATTAAATACAAAGCAGTGTAAAACTTTGAATAAACAAATAAAGCATTATTTATAATTTAATTCAAACTTTTTTAGATGTGATTTAAAATTAAATTTTTAAAATTTCTAAACCCAGTGGTTCTGAATGGTCAATATTATTTTTAATCATTGTAGATCACATGACCCTCAATGTAGGCTACAACAAAACACAGCAATGAAAAAAAATGTTAAAAGAATATAATTATTGAACTTATAAAAATGGTTACCAACTTTTTTTTGGTCATTGACTTACTGGAAAAACCAAAAAACTTGTAGGCCTACATTATAACCAATGTTTGTTTATTTATATAATTTATATCAAACTTGGTGTCACTGAGTAGAATTTTTACTTCAAGTTTTTTCTTGAGTAGACAGAACTGTTGTTTCCATTTTTTGCAATTATCCTTTTTTTATTCTAGCTAAACAATTACTCATTCTAAAAAAATCTGTTATAATATCTTTAGATAATAATTTATTTACAGCTTTCTAAAGCCAAAAGTTGTCTTTTTATTGTAATGAAACATGGCACTTCCAGTGCAATTTTCACACATTCACATGTACTGTGACTACCTTTGTCTACCAAGTCATTTATAGCTTGTAATTTGCAATAAATAATATATCAATCTGTTGGCTAAACACTCATATACATGCTAAACTAGCCACCTTTTTCTTTGTTCTAAAAAAGAAAGGATAACTATTGGCTTTAAATAGTTTGGAATAAATAATTAAATGTTACTACAGAAACATGCATTAATAAAAACAAATTTCTCCAGGAAATATCTTACTTTTAAAATTGTGTCCAAAATAAATGTGTCCCTCAAACTAAGAATTCCATATTCTAAAAGCTGATCAACCAGATCTGTATAAATTGGGTCCATGATGACATAAGTGATTTCATAAAGCTGCCCAGCAGCAAGTGGTAATGTCATTGGTAAAATTCTTGCTCCACCATATTTAAGTAATCTGAGATACATTAATATTTATCTTATTATAACAATCATATTCTAAAACTGCTATAATAATTCATTCTGCATTTAGAACATGATTATTTAGGGATATTGATCAATTAATAACATAAAGTTTGGATATAAATTAAAATGTGAACAATTTAAAACTATTTCGGAAAATGTATTTTTTAAATTAATATCAACTATCATAAACTTAATAAACGAGTTTTATGAACTCTAATTCTCTTAACGAAGAGTTTGGTCAACTAATTACTTAAGATGGTTGTCCATAAACGATGTCACACTCCGAAGAAGTGTGAAGGGGGGGGGGGGGGTGTTCTGAAACGACAACTTTGGGCTTAGAGGAAACAACTTGGACTTAGTAGACAACACCGTGCTCATCTCATACAAATCAGAGAGCAGATGCAGAAGAAAACACACATGGTAGCAGAAAAGTAAAAGTCCATGCAGTTTGGACTTATCCACAATCAAAAGACAAAAATGGTAAAAATGAATGCTACTAGAACTGGATCACCAAGATGGAAGAGATGCAGATGTTGAAGCAAGGATTAGCTAAAGCAACAGTAACAGCATTCACCAGCAAGGAGAGCGATTTTTATGTCCAAGGTAAAATCTCTGCTGCTCTACGAGGCAGAGACTTGGAGGATGCAAAGACCCCTATTAATAAAGTCCAGACCTTTATAAAAGGCTGCCTTAGACAATACTGAGGATCCGCTGGCACAATACAATCATCAACACACAGCCAACCAGTATTACCAGGCAGGCATTGAGGTGGAACCCACAAGGAAAGCTCTTAAGAAGTTAAACAAGAATCACCCGGCAACAGGACCTTGAAGGTGAAACTAAATAGTTATCATTAAAAAAGTTTTTAAAAACCCACGTTTTCTGATTGAACTAAAAAGTAGAAAATAAATGCTATACATCACAAAAATGCAAGCGATCACTCTACTATAAGCGATGAAAAACGTGGGGCGCCGAAGTAAGTTTTTTATCGGTCATTGTTAATATAAGATGTAAAAGTTATATTACTATTGATTAGATAATACTATTGACTTTTATTAGGGAGCTTGTAGAGAGTCAACAGTAATAGAAACTGTAAGAAAATCACGGCGCCCCACGTTTTTTCATCGCTTATAGTAGAGTGATCGATTTTAAAAGTAGGGGGGGAGGGGGGAAGGAAGGGGGGGTTATGGCACCATAGTCTGTAATTTTGTGACGATGTGTGATGAAGGGGGGGGGGGTGGGTTCCCAGATGTTGCGACGTCACATTTTTGCATTATAAAAAAGCAATGTTAGAAAACGAATTTTAGACGTTATTTTGCGTTTTAGATAACTGTTTTAATAAATTGTAATAGTTTAGACAAGATTTTGGAAAAATATCGATGTTTTAAAAAAATTCAACTGCAATTTTGAGGGGAGGGGGGTTTGTAAGTTGAGGTGTGACATCATTTTAGGGGGGGGGTCTGGCTTTTTGTGACGACGTGTGACGGAGGGGAGGGGGGGGGGGGGGAGGTAAAAATCGTCAAAAAAAGCGTGATGTCATTTATGGATGACCCTAAGTGAACTTTTTCAAAACATTATTGACAATATCAATGGACCATAAATTAAGTTAGTACCTATTGTAAGCACTCAGCTTGGAAGATTCAACCATAAGTGACACTTTCCAACCAGAAAAAGGCTGTTCTTTATAAAAGGAAATTTTCCATCGCCATCGTTTAGATGCAGAAACCAAGAGTGAGTTTTGGTCTTTGATACTATGTTCATAGTTTTCCTCATTTTGCCAACTTCCTAAATTATAACTATCCTCAATATACTTAGGAGATAACACCCACAAACCTAAAAATAAAAAGCAACATTTTGTGGATAAACAGCCAATTTTAAACAAAAAATGATTATTTATCAATTTTATCACTGTAAATAAAATGTTCTACCTTTCACACAGGAATTCAGAAACTTTTCAGTACAAGTCAGGTATTCACTTATAAGATGTGTTGCATTATTCTGAAAGTTCTGATACAAATATTGAAATAATAAATGTTAGACTGATTAATGAATACGAGTTAATATTTTTTGCGCGTAGTTTTGGAAAAATAAGACCCAAAGTTAAAAACTCTATATGCTGCCCTTTCTATACTATTGTTTTGAAATCTATTTAAAAGGGGGGGGGGGAAATATTTTTACCGAGGAAGGATTAGGATAGGGGTTTTAAACGTGTTACATTAAAAACATTTAAAAATACTATCTATAAAAGAAACATTTATTTTTGTAACAATATGATAGGACACAGAGAGGATAGAAAAATTAGCAAAAGCTATGTTATTTCTTTAGCCCAGGGGTCGGCAACCTGCGGCTCGCGAGCCGCATGCGGCTCTTTTGATGCCCAGATGCGGCTCTCGAGTTCCATATACACGCATTATTTCATTTTCAAAACTCATTAAAAAATATTATACTGTAAAGAAAAACAACTTTAAACAGGATAAAAACACACATCAGAGAACAATGAGAGGAGGTGAGGTTAAAAAAAAAATAACATGTATTCATCTAATCCTAATTAAATGCCAACATATTGAAATAAAAAATGTTAGTGGCTCTTTAAAAACTGGAAAAATTTTGTAAATGGTAACTTTTGGCTCTTCCTTCTCAAAAGGTTGCCGACCCCTGCTTTAGCCCTATTTACAATTTTAATTTTTGTTTTATGTGGGGTTTTTTTTTAGCCTTAATTATGCCAACAGTTAGCATTTTTTAAGGGTTTATTAATTTAACCCCTGATAATATTGAACATTTTTCATACTTGCTTTACTTTTTGTATGAGAAAATTTTAAGGTTTTGCTCTAGAAACACTGTGAAAGTTGAGTCAAAAAAAAAAAGTTAAATGTTTTCCAATGTAAATTTACCTGTGAGTCAATAAAAACTCCACCCAGTTCTTTAATTTTTTTCACAAGTTCAGCCTTCTTTACTTCAGAAAACCTCCAGTAAAAAGCAATACATTGAAGTTTTTTTTTCTTTTTTCAGCAAACATCTAAGTAAAAAAATGATAATATACACTAAGAAAAATGTTAATTCTTAGAACGAAATAGAATTTATAGGCCTGTAGAAAATATATACTTTTACCAGTATCCACCCCCCCCCCCCCCCAGAGTTTAGTCAACCCCTTTGGTTTAGAGAAAAAGACAACACCATCAACCTAGCGCTTGTTTTATTTCTCCATCAACGGCCATTTATCTAGTAATAATAAAAGAATGATGGAAGAATTCTTATCAACTCAACAATGTCCATACCATTAGATGGTAAAACTCCATTTTAGCTTATTTTATTCCCCGCTACACATAGACCTCCAGTTGAGCATATTTATAAACAAAACTGAAACACACAAAAACATTAAGAAAACACTAGGATTAGATCTAGATCTACTAATTTTTTTTATGAATGTGTGTTTTAATTAGGAAAGGTAAAAAACATTATAAACTAGCATGCATGTCCCTGTGTGTTTGTGAGAAGAAAGTCCTAGGATAGCCTGGGGGCAAATTGTACCCTACAGGGCACCAGATTGCACCATCCATGTGAAATTTAAAAATTTCTTTTCGTAGAAACCTTCACAGGAGTATTCTTAACAACTTCCCAAAGTTTCATGGCGATCAGATGAAAGGTGTAGTAATGCCTAAAAGGACAAATACAATCTGACGAAATATATTAGGAGGCTTTCATCAATGCTATACCAATCCTATATTCTTACATGCAAAAACCTTGTTTTCTATAACTCATTTTAACGGAAACTATGCCGGCACTTGGATCATAATTTATCAGGGCACGGGTTTACCTCTACACTATCGCCTTGGAGTGTACGTTAATCAACCACTGTAATATCATTCGGCCTAAGCAAAAGCCTCCCTTGGTGAGTTCTTATCAACACCACAAACTTTGATGCCGATCAGATGAATGGCGTCAAACCACAATCAACTTTTATTTTTATATTATTAGGCCTACCATTTCGTACTTTATGCATATTGCCATGAAAATCTTAACTGACACAAACATATAGGCCTACATATTTTTCAAGAGTAAAAAAGAAAAAAAAAAGTTACATTTTAAATTCTAGAATGTAGATTTCTAAATAGACTCTAGATATCTAAATCTCTCTAGTGCACATTCAAAATTATGATTTTTCTCAATCTTTGACAAAAGTAAATTATCAAAAATTAAAACAAAAATTCATAAAGAAATAATCTATTGTTTTCTTAATGTTTTTGTGTTTTGGTTGTGTTTATAAATACGCTCAACTAATTTATAAATAAATACTAATAAATAGATTTAGAGAAATCTAGGCCTACTAATAATAATAGAGTCCTTGCAAACACGTGACCTAAATCATGTGATACTTACGTCCACCGCCACGGTGGTGTACACCGGACGTAAACACAATCAGCTGTTCACCAGCGCTGGACGCGTTCACTGTATGTAAAGAACCCCACCTGCGGAAAAGGAACAATACATTAAAAAACTTGAACTCTTAGGAATTGAAGATCCTTATATTGTTATTGACAGTTTCGTGGATGATATAAATATGTGGCCGAAAATTCAAAATAAAAATACTGTTAGTAATACTGTTTGCATTTATAGTTTAAGTAGACAAATCGGATAAAATGCAGTAGTATTTTATAGGTTATCTAGATCTGGTTAGTGTAGATTCTAGATTCTCTAGTTAAGTACAAGATTAAGTAGCAATAGATCTAGTAGAACCACACCACTGTAAGAAACGTGAGACCACTTAACTCCTACGAAACCCACACTAAAACGGCTAATATAATTCATAGGTAATAACCACTGCTGTTCTTAGATCTCAGCCAATATGGGTGGCATGTTATATAATTTAAGACCCTCATAATCCAGCAGGGAAGTGATCAGACACATTAATACTGATGTTCCACCCTCAACATTTCTTAACCTCCATGATGGCCAGCCCCCATCTCTGTCTAGCCCACCATAAAACTTCATCTCTTTGTAGGTGACATGGATTATTGTTCTTAGAACCTAGCTCCGCAGAGATAGTATGTTATGTAATTTATGACCAACATGGTCATATAAACACACCTCGTCACACCATCTTTCACACATGGTACATCCAACCCAGTTCATTAGACTCCCATTTATACTGTGCAAACTCAGAAAGCGAATATGAACAGAATGAAAAAAAAATGTGTGTCTGTAGATAATCTAAATAAAGTCCGCTATCGACTAAACTACCATTTAATAGCTAAAAGGGGTCATCCATCAATGACGTCATGCTTTTTTGACGATTTTTACCCCCCCCCTAACATTTTTCTAACATTGCTTTTTTATAGTGTGACATCACAACATCTAACCCCCCCCCCCCCCCCCCCCTCATCACACATATCTATGCAACAATACAAAATATGTTTGCGGCAGCAGCGGATTCGGGCATGGTGATCTTCAAAGATGGTAAATCAGACAGCCTCGGCGTTCCACACAAAAGAAAGAAGTTGATCTATCGTCTGCTGTATTTCTGGAGGTTTCGAACAAGATGGTATTCTAAGTCGACACAAAAGATGGGGGAGTTCACAAATCATCAGTATGTCTAGCGACGGAAAAATTGGAAGTTTTAATAATGTAAACTAAACGTTTTTTAAGTCTGCACCAAATACCACTGTAAATCGGGTGCAGTAAATTTTTCGCAGAAATCTTCGCATTTTAACACCCAGCGTAAATATCGGGTTGTGGTAATATGCGAGACCGACCGTTTTTGCGCCCTCCTCGCATTTTCCCACCTCGCCATTTCGCTTTTCGCGTCTCACAATTTCCCAACACCCTAATAAAAATTATAAAATCTAGGATCTAGAATCTAGGCCTAGCTAGCTAGATATCTAGATCTATTTTAGTCACTAGAATTTCTAGATTATCTTGAAATATCTTGATTCTACTAGAATCTAGAAATCTAGATTAATAATAATAATTTAGACTTTAGACCTAATTAATTTTAGTTAGATCTAGATCTAGAATAGATCTTGATCACTAGATCTATCTTATATATTCTAAGTCTAAGTTAAGTATCTAGCTATTCCGTATTCGTTAATGAAATTTCCGAGCGCAATTTTCGTTTCTAGAGAGATCTAGATCTCTAGATCTAGAAAAGATCTGGCAATCTAGAAGATCTAGATATCTAAATGTCTAGATCTATCATTCTATCTAGAATCTAGTCTGATTTAGCTAGCTAGATCTAGATTCTCTAGATCTAGTTTAGTTACTAGATCTAGATCTAGATCTATTAGTAAACTATTAGTAATTTAGTTAGATCTACAGACTACAGTGTCACTACAGTAACAATCTATCAATTCTAGAATCTAGTAACCAAGATCTAGATTCTAGATCTAGAATCTAGATCTGAAGCTTCTAGAATCTAGATCTAGAATATAGATCTAGAAATCTAGATGTACTTACTAGATCTACTAGTACATGAATAATTTTTAGAAAAACGTCATCTTATTCCCAAGCAGGTTAAGGTTAAAATTAAATGGACACAGTGTTGCGGTGGACACAATAAAGCGGGAGTAATCTCCCCTAAACTTTCCCGTATATTCTTAGGCCCCCTCCCCCAAGGGGAGATGCACTTCTTTCATGCAATCCGGGTATAGATCTAGAATCTAGATCTAGAAGTCTAGATCTAAATATGTTAATTTATTGATTTTTAATTCTTTCATTTTTAGTTTCTCGTATACGAAGTAGATTCTAGATCTAGATCTAGATCTATAGAGGAAGTATTGAAATCTTGCAAAAAAAGAAAAAAGAGAGATTTTCAGTCGACGTTTTACACCTCCCTGCAGAGCCGGCGTTAGGAATACGCGGGGCCTGCTTTTTTCCATTATATATATATATATATATATATATATATTTATATATATATATTATATATATATATATATATATATATAATATATATATATATATATATATATATATATATTTATTTATAATATGCGTGCACACATAATAACACACATGTTTTGGAGTTTATAAGCCAATGCCAAACTTCTCCCTTTAATAAACGATGGTTACCTCTCCCACGTTTTTGCCCAATGTTCTTAGTTGTTTTTTTTTTTCTTGTTGAGATATAAAATCACTTTTGACAGTTATGAAATCCATACCAAATCACTTAAGAAAATTCAATCACGTGCCAAAAAATTAGGAAAATAAAGTTGTTTAAATTGTTTGTTAATAACTAATTGTTAATATAAAAGTCATGCGTTTTAGGTGTATCTAAAAAAAAGAGAATGCACAGAATTATGACAAATCATACTATCAACAAAACTAAAGTAATTAAAGTTAAAAAGAAATAGAAAAACATTGATAGCTTACGACTTTGCTTGAATCATGAATAAACACTGGTTACGAATCGTGAAAGCAAACTCTATGTTTATGGATATCCAAAAGAAATGATTCTCAAATGTTATCATGGACGCTCAGTAGGGTGGAGCTTTGGGGTGGGTGGCAGTTGGTGGGGGGGGGGGGGGGTAAAGGATAGCTGTGCATTTAAATCTATGGCTATGGGATGCCATACCCTAAAAAAAAAGGGCCTCCAAGTTCAAGTACTCCGTTAATGGATCTCTAACTGGAGTCATTCAAAAGAAGGTTTGTATTTATAGAGCGTCCACGTATTACATTACCGGCCATGATCGCGATCTCACAAGAGAAAGTTCGTGTCTATAATTAGGAAGTGACAGCCAGCTACACATTATTTATGAGTTTCGCGATGGCATGCTCGGGCTGCCGTGAAAGTCGGTACTTTAGACGTGTGAGAAATCAGGACAACTTGGCAATACAGCGAACTCGGCCTGATGTATTAAAACAGTATAGACTTCAAAATTTGTTTAGAATCCATACAATATTATAAAACCAAAATCATTATTGTCTTAACTATTGTAAAGGATGTCCCTACAAATAAAAAAAAAATGTGCTTAATCACTCTACAAATGTCGTGTTTTAAAGTTCACCAAAG